CACACATACACACACTCACTCTGTGCCTCCTGGCAACACTCACTTTCACAGCATTTTTCAAATCTTGACTAGGGGTGGAGTTACATTTTACATAAGTTTTCTGCTGGTGTGCAGTCCCTCTTTAAAGAGCTCACATATGCAACACTCCAAATAATTTTTTTCTTAAATCATTAGATTACTATGGCCAAAATGTGTTAATGAAGTTTTTTTCACTAAATCCATCTCACATAAAGTATTTCAGTAATTTTACTCTTGACATTTTCAGAACCTTCCCAAATGAGCCGTTTCAGGGCACTGTCACTTCAAGAAAACAAGCTGGAGCTGGCCACGCCTACCTGTCTCCAGCTCAGACTACTGTAAGCTGAAAAGCTCTCATCTGAGGAGGGGCTTGGAGTAGAGCCGCTGCTCCTCCAGCAGCAGATGATTCTTTTCTCATTTCTCCATTTGTGACATCAAAAAGTGTGTTTGAAACAGCATGTTTTACATGTATAATTCTTAAAACCAAGCATTGACAGAAGAAAGATGGACAGCTTTCTTTTGTATTTAGAGTGTTTATAGGGATAGAGTTGAATTGATTATTCCCTCACATAGCTGATCAGCCATTCACATGACCAACATCTACAGAATAGCATCTCTGAATCACAAAATGTTGTAGCAGATGGACCAAAGCTGCAAAAAAAAAATCACAGCAGATTTCAAAAACTCATCCAGGTCTCATCAGTCTTTATTTTGGTTCAAACAATTAGATCAAGGCTATTCAATTCCTAACCTCAAGGGCTGGTATCCAGCATGTTTTGGTTTTAACCCTGCTTCAACACACCTGATTTCAATCAGCAGGTTATAACAGGCTTCTGCAGAGCCTGGTTAGCTGCTGCACAGGTGATTCAACCGCTGAATCTAGTGTGTTGAACCAAATAAACCACTAAAACATGCTGGATACCAGCCCTTGAAGCCCAGAATTGAATAGCCCTGAACTAGATGGCCAGGTCAGAATTTGGTGTTGACTCCATGCTGCCTTGTATCAACGGTTCAGGCTGCTGCTGCTGGTGGAACGATGTGAGGGGGAGGTTTCTCGGCCCATTTTGGACATCTTAGAAGCTACCACAGCCTTCCTGAGTACTTCTGCTGGGCATGTCCATTCCTTTATCACCACAGTGGACCCATCTTCTGATGGCTAATTCCAGCAGGATAATGTAGCAGGTCAGAAACAGGACACATAACACACAGCAGCAAAATAGCCCAACAAGATACCTCCTGAGAAGGCTGTTTCCCCACAACATCTACAGGAAGAACAGGAGCTGGAATAACAATAAATGAACACAAATGGAGAATCAATATTATTGATGGTGAAATAGATCACATGATGTGCAAGAAACTGTGGAATATTATCCAGATGTGATGTAAACACAGCCAATGAATTTCTGTTTTCCCCTTTTTTCATTCTGTTCTTCTGTTTGTTCCCATTCTCTTGTTCATTTCATATAGTCCTTTTCCATGTTGTTTATTAAAACTGTTAAAGCTGTTTTTGCTGCTGGAAATTGAATTTCCCAGAGGACCCTTCTTAAGGGATTAACAAAGTTTAGCTAAATCTGAGCCAGTTTATCGAACATGACAACAAGGTCACTGGACTCAGTCCGGTCCAGGACCTTTGGGATGTGGTGGTATATATGTCGATTGGTGGAAGGAGAGATTTACATCACAGATGGACATGTGTGATACTGCCACGTCAGCATGGACCAAATGAACACACATAGAACTACTGATCACAGCCCATTCTCATTTATACACAACACTTCACCTGAACTACTCTATCCTTAACATAAACCAGGGGTGTTTACATGTGAGAGAGCTGAATTATGAACAAAATTGATCAAAAGAACATCAACTGGTGGAAACGTAACAAAAAGCGGCATCCACTTAAACATTAATTGTCCTCATTGTAAAATCCATTGTTGCTCTGCAAACATTGATCACACTCTGTTCGCTGCAGGAGGCAGTTACAAGTGGTGACCCAAATAAAAAAACCTGTGAGTCTAAACATCATTTAAATCATGATTATTAGTATATGACTGATTATAAAATGTGGTTGATAATAAAAGCCTGCTCCGTTCTCATCAGCAGATTAGCATCTTAATGGTTTTCCATCTCAGCCACCTTGGCGCTGATCCATTTTACACAACAGAGCAATAAGACTGGAATAAAGACATAAAGGGAGAATAAACACAGGGGTAAAGGAAAAAAAACTGTCATGATCTACAACATGTTTCCTAAATGCATGACTCAAGAACAACAGCCTTTTGCTGCGAGGATCCCTTTGCAGGAGCATGGATATTTTGATAAATTTAATTATGATTAATTAAGAACCGGTTAAATTTCCCAAGACAATTAACTAAAAACAACACAAGGCCAAACAGTTATTTCATGCCAACATTAAAGGTGTGGAACACTCATTTGATCAACACATTTGCGGTGGTCTCTCTGGTAGGAATGAATGCTTTGTAAGTTTTACTCAGGGGGAAAAACACTGGTGCACCATTTCCATTTCGCAGATCTTCATCCTCTCTCGCCTCCATGTGAGCATCCCTACCCACAGACATCATAAATATTGACACCCCATGGATTGGCACTGCCTTTTGGAGCTGGCGTAGCAGAGGGTTGCCATCTTGGATGGGTCCACATTTGCCCCCAGTGCATTTATTTTTACCAAGAAAGGTGCTTACTAGCGCCCAGTGGGGCATCTATGTTTTCATGTCTGTGCCACATCACAACTGAGCTTCACACAGCAGTTTTTGGAGCCTTATTTCCTGACATTTGGACATCTTGCCTGGTTTGGATAACAACAACATGACACTGGTTGCAACATTCATGTTTTATCTCCACAAAAACCACAAGTTTGAAGGAGTTCTGGCATGTGGTGGAGTTTCTAATGCTAATGGTTAGCGAGACATTCTCTGCTGTTTCCTGTACGCTAAACCAAAAACAGCCTTCCCCGTTGCCTGTCAAGATGGATGAGTCCATGAATGTTAAGTGCCAATGTGATGTAGATCTGTCAGTATTTTCAAATCCTAGAGTTTCGCCATCTATTTGCTATCAGAAGCTATGCAGGAGATTGGTGTAGGAGACATGAAACACAGATTATAATCAGAAAAAGGATTTTACAAATGTTTTTCTGTGTTCTACACCTTCAGCAAAAGGACCTATTCCTTCTGCTCTTGGGGAAAATGGGACAAGTGCAAATTCATGAAATATTTAAGAAATAAAATCCTAAACCCGCACACCATTTCCAGCAGGAGGATTGAGGTCAAAAGGGTGAATCGTTTAAAAGATTAGGTTGCTCCATCGACCATTCCTGCAGACCTGAATTCTCAGGGCATGGTGAGTGATTTTTGTTATTTCTTCTTCTTATTTTCGTCAATTTGTTTATTTGTTATTAATATGCCATTCTGTACAGGTATTTATCATTTATTATCCAAATCTATGACATTGCATTTCCAAATCTTGGTCAGAGATTTCTGAAGATCACACAAGAAAACATGTCAATGTGTTGAGGCATCATGAGATTACACGAGTACTTGTGTTTTTATTTACAGGAATTAACTAAAGTATTGAGATGAATAAGCAATAGAAAATGCAGACATAGTCCCCAGAGAAAGAGCTAAGTGTCAAATTTGTTGCGACTAGATCTCTCATGGAACCAAAACGCAGTTTGAAAAGTAATTCAAGCCAGTGAATATTGTCTCTAATATGAAAAAAGCATTACATTTATTCTATGAGCAGTTTGCATTTAAAGTAAAACATTTTGTGCACAAAAATTACCACATTATAAAAATTATCTGATGCTCTTCACAATAATATGGGATCCGGATACTTTTCTGGATTCCTTGTGTGTTTCATTGTATGCAAAAAGAAAAAAAAGGGAATAAATTTTCAGAAATTCGTTGAGGAGAGATGACAAGGATAAATGTGTTCCCTGTGCCAAAACGTCATGTACATTTCTTAATGTGGGACAGCTGAGAATGAAATCTGGGACACTCGTGAGTAGATAGAACTGTTCAGTAGAACAGAAAGCAATTAACTTAAAACTCTAAACTCTACATGCTTTTACAACACCCGCTAAGATACATATGTGAAAATAAATTGAACATCAAATGCAGACGGAATATTCAAGTATTAAATATTTCAAAGCTACAAACCAAGCCATCTTCCATAACTATGTTTGCAACCTTATGATGAACTAATTTAGAAACAAATTGATAATACAATGTAATACTGATTCACAAAAAACAGAATAGTAAAAAAAACCTCTAAAAACGTATGAAATATTTTAAAGCCATGACAATATCTGTTTAACATAATATACCTTAGCTTACTTTTTAGAATGTCTTTGATTATTCTTTTTTGTGCACATTTTAATAAGATATAGGGTTTAGCAAGTATGAAACTTGCAACTGCAGTGAGCACAAACCAATATTCACACCTGGGCATACTCTATGCTGAAAGGAGCCAGCTGAGGCGATTAGGTCATCCCCTTCAAGGGGGAGATGTTTCAGGGTGAGGTGTTTCAGGGAGAAATGTTTCAGGTGTGCCTTCTGGGAGCACCTCGGGCGTGCTGGAGGAAGAGGCTAGAACAATTTGAAGACAGTATAAATACTTTTTAATTCACTCCTCAATTGCAAAAACAACTCAAATATGCACCTGCTAATAGCTTGTGACTGAAAAAGTTGCAGTCTAGTCAAATGTTTGAGTTTGTTTATAAATTTAGGTTGGGCTCTGTCAGGGTTGCGAATGACCACAGTCACAAATTCTTGTCATGCGTCTTGCCCATGTATGTCTGATGTCTGAATTGTGTGTACTGAAACTCTAATTTCCCTCTTGGATTAATAAAGTATCTTTCAATTGAACTGAATTACTGTGGGCCCCACCCGATGGGCCCCTCTCTGTTCGCCCCTGTCCCCTTTGTGGCTGCGGCCGCGGCTCCTCCTCCAGCTGAGCCCCGCCCTCAAGGAGTGACTTGGAGTGAGGAGACCCTGCAGACACACACGCACACACACACGCACACACACACTATACTCACATATGCTCACTGAGGGTTTCCTGCCTGTAACGCTGTGTCTCGACTAACGGGACAAGTTTGAACCTCTCGGATATCTTCGTCCTCTCTCGCCTCCATGTGAACATCCCTACCCAGACTGAGGTGAGTGAAGAAATTCAAACATGCTGCCAGTTTTCTTGGAGGGTACGCTCTGAACCAGTTAGAACTAGGGGGAAAAGAAGTAGAGGTTTTTTTTAGTGAAGGAGAAGGGGCTGGGAGAGAAGCGTCTCCGTCCTGGTGGAACAGTTTTTGTTCGCACCCTTTTATAGGGTCACCGAACGGTTTATCAACCTGTACTTTAAGCCGGAGAAACCCGCCGCTTCCGCTGCTGGCTGACGCCTGGAAGCCCAGAGAGCCGCTTTGAGATTAGCAGAGCAGCTTTTTACATCTCCTCCTTCATGTTGTTGCCTTTAATGTAACGCAACACATGGCTTCACCCAAAAACTACAACCACGCATCTCCTCTCATACTTAGAAGATGTACATTAACCGATTAATCGTTGTTTGATTACTTTTTAGTCGGAACTGCTTATTTTCTGTTTTTGTAAACTTTTTGAATGAGAAGCGAAGCTTTTTCTTTGTTGTATTAAACTTGTCATTCATTTTTTTATTTCACGCTTAATCATTAATTAAACAATCAACTCACTCAATACTGTCTGCGCTTGCCAAGGCATTTGATTAATTTAAGTCCGACCATCGATTAATCAATAACACTGAAAACAATTCAGAGACATAAATGACCCCTGAGATGTTTCAGTCTGAAACAATAACCCCATCATTCTGGCTGATTGATTGACTATACATGCACGTTTTTGCCAGTGAAACAGAAGCAACATTGTAAAGAGGTGCTGTCGACTAATTTTGTATTTATTAATCAATCGACTATTTAATTGATCAATCTATGTGATTACTTTTCCTCTAAATGTCGAAATCAGCTGTTTTATTTGAGTACAATTTATTTTAGTAGCCAACTGCAGGATTTATTGTGTAGCACAGCTTAAATGTAAACAAAGACTAAAATACATGTTTCAGCATGCCAAAAATAAATATGCTGATATTTATTATTTTTATGTAAAACGACCAAATGTTCTAGTAGACCAAACTCAAAAGAATACAATTAGAGCTTGTTTAGCTATCACATTGTCCACCCAATTAAACTGGCTTGAAATGGATAAAAGTTAAAGGTGTTGAACAACATTTGCAGTGGTCTCCTGTAAGAAGGAATGCCTTGTAAGTCGTAGTCTGGGTAAAAAAGCCCAGAAGCGCCTGTATCAAAATGGGGGACTCAGCAACACCACGGGTTTGGAGTCTTATTTCCTGATATTTGGACATCGCACCTCTGATTGGCTAACAACAACACAACTCTTCCACTGACTCAGTTTGCTTTGCAACTTAAATGTTTTATCTCCAGTACACAAGGCTGGAGGAATTCTCACATGTGATATAGTTGCTAAATGCCAATGTAACCCAACCCGTGCAGGGGCCTCCCTCCACCCCGGACTCTGCGTTGTGTAATTTTGTGTTGGATGGGGGTGCACAATAGAGAGACCAGTCGGACACAGGCGTTCAATTTGTGGCTCGGACCGCGCCGTCTTTTTCTTTATTTAGATGATGGGGCAAACACCACTCCAACTCCGCTGCTGGCCTTTACAAATCACAGTAAACACTGAACCCAAAATGGCGCCCGTGCGAACGATAAAACTGAACTACGGTGTCCTGCAGAGGACAAATGGTCAAAATTGCTAAAATCTACAATGTATATCCAGCTCAACAGCGACACCTTGTGACTTATTCAGTCACTGCCTTACACTAACAGTTAGCTTCTATTAGCCGAGATTTTCTCTGCTGTTTTCTGGACGCGAAACCGACAACAGCCTTCCTCATCGTGAGTCAAGATGGATGGGTCCATGAACGTTCAGTGACAGTGTGGCGTAGGTCTGCCAGGATTTTCAAATCCTAGAGTTTCACCATCTATTTTCTATCCGAAGCTAATGCAGGAGATAGGTGTAGGAGACTACTTTCTTGTTCAGCCTGCATGAAACACTCAAGCCTGGGGCATACCGGAAGCAGATGCGCCACGTTGCACTTGCAGTTTTGAAAAGTCAAGTGGTCACACAGGACTTGCTGCGCCGTTGAGCGCTTCTTGGAAAGTCAAGCGATAGTCACAACATTACGCAGGACTTGAGAACTGGAAGTGACTCTAGTTTTTAATACATGGTCAGATGTGCCGTCCTGTTTTGTGAGACTCCTATTCATTAAAAATGGGTAAGTATGCTATTTATTAGAATATTTTAGGATCAACCAGAGTCACCCCCAACCAGAGTCTTACTCCACTCCCACTTCATGTTTGAAAAATGCAACAAATGCTGTTACCTGGCAGACCGAGAGGGTGAATCCACCAACAAATACACACACACACAAGCTCATAATGACATTGTGACATCATAATGTACCAGCTAACATTATAGTGTACCTCTTAGCCAATAGCGATGGTAGATTTAAAGTAAAAGGCAGTGCAGTTTTTACCTGGCGACAGCGCAACACTGACAGTTTTAGGCAGAATATGCACTTTATAATCTATGGACTACATGTGTCTACAGCACGAGTAGACACTCATTTATATAGGTTATCAGCAAAACAAAAGTTGGTTGTGGGGTGGGGTGGTGTTTTTTTTTTTTACCTTTTCTTTAAATGTTTAGATATTTTTTCAACTTTTTATATACAAGAGGAATTTTCACCCTGAAACATAGCCGACTTTGGACAAGCTCTATGCACACAAAGTAAATTCAGTACTAGCTCAAAATGCCACCAGGTGCAGTTCAGAAGTCACTCAGTGTCACCTCTTTGAGACTCAATCTGACATGCCCCCACAGAGGTAAGCTCATAGACTCTTCCCCTGCAGGGTTTGAATCTCTGTATCTGATTGATCTGTATAACAGACGCTTAACCAGCTCCAGCCTCATTTCCTGCATTAAAATATGTTTTGCAGAACCTATAGAACAAAGGTCAAAAACGTTCACTAATTTCTCATCACAGTGATAGTATACCTATAGTGTGTGTGTGTGTGTGTGTGTTGGGGGGGGGGGGGGGGGGGGGGGGGATGATGATGAAAAGTTCCACTTTGGCAGCTCTGCATGATGGTAATCCTATAAACACATTAATGATGTCCAAAGGAAAAGAAAAATACAGGTATGTTTGGGGGAAAAAATATTCAAAAGTTCTCTGTGTGTGTCTAAATGTGTGTGTGTGTGTGTGTGTGTGTGTGTGTAGATATATCTATGCATATGTAACTCTTGCTTCTTAATTTGTTTACTTTTTCGTGTGTAACTTCAGCTCCTACACATACAAATCCTTAAACGCACACACACACACACACACACACACACACACACACACACACACACACACACACACACACACACACACACACACACACACACACACACACACACACACACACACACACACACACACACACACACACACAAGCAAAACACCTGATACACACGGACAAAACCAAATTACACACAAATCTGTTTACAAGTACAAGTTTTTTGATATTAAAGTGATCAGGATCATATGGGTGAACTGGAATTAAAAATGCCCCTAAAACTGTAACCTCGACTTCACACTGGAGGCATCAGCAGTGCGGAACAACAGCGGGACGTTGCTGCTTCTAACAGAATCCATCATAGTCTATGGGTTGATCCAAACGACACGTTAATTACCATTCAGTCACCATTAAATCATACATGCTTTCAGTGTAAAATGTCTGCTAATTTTCAAAATAAGACAATTGCAGCAATGCGATTTCGTATCCATGTAGATTACATCAGTGTGACCTAACGGCTTATTTACTCCCAGCATCTTTTGAGAAGTGTGACAGTGTGTTTTTCACGGCTTTAATCCTGGCAGTGTTAACGTTAGATCAAACGTGATTACCTTCTTTGTATTTTAATGACGGATGGCATAAACAAACCATCACCTTTGAAGTCTCGAGGGATTTTGTGGTCTTACAAATCCGACGAGGAGGACAGCAGAGAAGCCGCTCTGTGGCTAAGACTCTCCCGGTGTTGATTGGAGCGCAGCGAAGCACGCAAGTAAACGTTCCGCGCTGCTGATGCCTCCAGTGTGAAGTCAGGGTAACAGAAGTCACCTTGGAGAAAAATATGGTCGCTCACTAAACTGTGATTGTGCTTTACACTAATTCTTTCATCAAAATAATCCATAAGGTTTTATTCATGTTGATTTAACATTTTTTTATGTTTGTGTAAAGTTCACATGGAAAGTCACACAACCTTAATGAGAAGTTAGAAGGACGTGCATAGTTGAGGCTCGTAATAAATCAAAGGAAATGCCAGCAATTTAAGTTTGTGGTGAAACCTCCAGGAGTGCTTAATAAACGACTTTTTCCCCAGCATTTTATCTTTGAAGTTTCCTTGAACATGTTATTAAAATCCTGCCACGTCTTGTGAAGCCGGCAATGTGCATGGTGTCATGAGCTGATTGGATCGTCATAGCAACCTGAAATCACCTTTTGTCAACACCGTGTAGGATGGAAGTTTGAGATCACACAGACAAATTAGACTAAAATTGACAACTTCCACCTGTTTGTAGACATATTTACAGCCATCATAGAGAAGAACGCTCTAATTGACACATTTGTTTGTAACTGATATGGCAGACAATGAGGGACACTAATCTAATCCTGTGCATATAAAGAACACAATGCCAGCAGTTTAATTTTCCATCATAATCTAAATCTCGACCCCATCTGTTGCCAGACTTTGGCTTTAGTTAACAAATCATCTGACAGCAGTGCTGAGTCTTTGCAATTAAATCCACAATGTCAATATTTACCAACTGAAATCTGGTCACTGGAATATTAGGAGTTGAGCGTTTCGTCATGAGAGGTAGGTGAGATTGATTTTCCATTCAGCCACAAAAACTCAAGAGCAGTAGTTTTAAATGATCAAGAACTCCGCACCAACAGGTCTTGTGGTTGATCACAACGTCTCTGAGATGGGATTGGTGGTCGTTGCAGGCATGAAAGGCAAAACAGAAAACCTTCACAAGCTGATTTAATCAGTGGGTGCCTTTTTC